GGCAAAAATATACAAATGGCATCTTCCATTCTGTACAGAGATCTCTTTGCCCATCGCTTCCTTCAATCTTCTTCACAGTCGACGGTCGCCGCAGGCCCACAGTACCGGAGGAAAAGAAAGGGAAGGGAAGTGTAGAGATGAGACCGGAGACGGCGTCGGTGCGGCGGTTGGGTAGACGGTAGTATTGTAGAAAGAGAAGGTCGAAGGAGGTAGATACTGCCATACTGGCCCCTTCATTCGTTTACACTAATGGGAAAAAAAAAAAAATTGGGCCAAAAAATGAGGCCCCCTCCAGTTTTGGGCCCGAGGCGACGGCCTCATCCGCTTCGCCCCAAAACCGGGCCTGGTTGAAAAAGAAGGAAATTTTTTTGATGTGATAGAAAATATTATTTTATTGAAAAATGTGTGGTTGAAATTTAGGGTGTGTTTGAGCCACATTATTTTGGAAGAATGTATTTTGGAATTGTAGATTGATGGAGAATGTGTGGTTGAAAAAGAAGGAAAAGTTATTGATGTGATGGAAAATATTATTTTAATGAAGAATGTGTAGTTGAAAATGAGTAGAAGAATGAGAATGAAAATTTTAAAGGGTANTTGTCAAGTCTTGCCAAGAACTGCATACAAAATGTGAGGAGTGCATACAAAAGTTATTGATATGATGGAAAATATTATTTTATTGAAAAATATGTGGTTGAAAATGAGTAGAAGAATGAGAATGAAAAAAAGAATGTGACCCAAACGTGGCTTTACAATTGATTCTTGGAATTAAATGAAATATTAAGTTTTTTTGTGACAATTTAAAAATCATTTAATGATTAAACTTCACTTTAAGTCGAACATTCTTATAAATCCTAATGTTTTGTTTTAAAACTTTCAATTTGTATCGATTCATGGCTAGTAGGGATCACAATGGTAGTGGCTGGTGGGCAGAGTCGGTTGATAGCATTATTTTCTTTGGATGAACTTCATTTTTTTGTAGAATATATTTTGTAATATTGATTTTTGAAAGATGTGCGTTAAAATGAATAGAATATTTTTGGATTTGGGTGTAAATTTATTTTATTAGATGATTTTATGATTAAAAATGAGTTTTAAAAAAATAAATATTTAGGGTCCGTTTTATTGCAAATGTGGAAAATGTGTGGAAAGAAAATATTTTACAGGGAAAAGATTTGCTTAGAAAATATTTTGCAGGGAAAATGATTTCAAGTGTGTTTGATTGGTATAATTTTTCACCCGAAAAATTTTTAAATTTTCTATTCGTTTGACTTTNTGTGTTCGATTGGTATAATTTTTTATGAAAAATGTTGAAAGTTTGGTGTCCGTTTGATTTCATTTTTTATGGAAATTGTCTATTAAAGTGATAATTTTTTACCATTGGTCCGAATTTATTCTAATCGCAAAAAAAAAATAAAAAATCATATCGAATACTTTAGCTTTATTTTGTATGGAAATTGTTCATTAAAGGAATTTTTTTTTTACCATTGTTGATAGAAATTATTCCAATTGCCAAAAAAAAAAAGGTGGAAAACCATTTTCCCACTACAAACAAATTCCACGAAAACCAAGAAAATGGGGATTGAGGGAAAAACAATTTCCAAGGAAAATTTGCCTATTAAACAAGGCAAAAGATGTCCATGGAAAATTATAGATATCAAACGAACCATTAAAGAATTGGGCTCATATGAACTTATTTATTTAGAAGGTGTTCGGTGAAAATTAAAATTAGATTTTT